GCCTCTCCACACTGAAGCAGGGTCGTTAGCTGAGAACCGGTTCTTCAGCTTCTCAGAGTAGCTCCTCTCAGCCACTCTGATCTCTTTGCTCAGTGTGTTTCTGGCCGTCTTATACAGGTCTCTGTCCTCACTCCTGTAAGCCTCCTCCTTGGCATGGCGGAGCTGCTGCTGTTTGCTGGTGAACCATGGCTTGCTGTTACTGAAGGTCCTGAAGGTTCTGGTTGGCACACACATGTCCTCACAGAAACGGCTGTAAGCAGTCACAGTGTCTGTACAGTCAGAACAGGCTTGTAGTTCCTGCTTTGCCTCGGTGGTCCATTTCCTCACAGTTCTGACAACAGGCTTTGCAGATTTGAGTTTCTGCCTGTATGTTGGGGATGAGGTGGACCAGACAGTGGTCAGAGTGTCCCAGAGCCGCCCGGGGAGCAGAATGGTCTGCTCCTTTAATAACGGTGTAGCAGTGGTCCAGTGTGTTGCTGTCTCTGGTGGGACAGCTAATGTGTAATTTTATGGTCAAATGTAAGAAAACAAATAACCATTTGTAAAAATATTTTTTTTGACGAAGACATTATTTACAGTTTTTGCCTGCTTTCTTTTTTTCTTTCTTTCTTTCTTTCTTTATCTCTTTACAATCAACATGTAAAGATTTGACCTTTTATTACAAGTAATTTAACAAAACATGAAAAATCTGTTAAATAAGTCACATATTTACATTATAATTAAACCAAACACACAATTTTTCTTTCAAATAATGGCATTTAAATACCTTAAATTGTGTAATTTTATGGTCAAATGTAAAAAACAACAACCTCAAACGACTGGAAAAATACAGATTTTTGGCATAAACAATATTTACAGTTTTTGCGTGTGCTAAACATTGATACTATGAAAGTGACATTTTTTATTGTTCTTCATTAAATATATTAAAGCTACAGTACATAGAAACCCTGCTGATTGGGATTTTATATTTAAATATGATCCATCGTCATTAAAGTTTGATCCGCCAGTGCGGTACGGCAAATCACGCATGCGCACTGCGGGCTGCGCGGCTTGTAACTAGCGCATGCGCACATACAAATCCCCAGAAGCAGCAGCAGCAGCGGCAGCTCAGGTCAGCCAGTCCAGTCAGCAGTCATCCACGCAGCTACCTATATCCCCTTTTCTTAAATTAGCCACTTTAAGCTTCGCGATACCGCCCCCAATTTCAGCGTCGGTACGGAGCCGCCAGGCCGGGACAGAGACGGAGAGAGAGGCCTCGGCCATGGAAGCGCTCGGACCCGGTAAGACCTTTTTGAGGGAGCGGGGGGGAGCGGAGGGAGCGATCCGTGTGTGGGAGCGTGTGCGCAAATGCGTCGCTTCACTGGGGGCCGCGGCTGCAGCGAGGCCTCCACAACAAACCGAGGCCCAGCCCGAGCCGCGGTCCCGACGTCCGGTTTTCCGTGTTCACACCGAGCGAGTGGGGCAGGGCGGCCGTCCGTACGGGCAGGGCGGCTGTTTTCAGCGGCCGTACCGTCATGTCTGGCCGGTTTTTGTGTCTCCGGAGCCCGCTCTGCCCGTCGTGTCGCGGCTGGCATTGTGTGAGTGGGGATTTAACTGGGACCTTCCTCCTTCCTTCCTTCCTTCCTTCCGCGTCGTGCTGTGTTTACGTTGATGTTTGTGCCTCTTTTCGGCCACATTGGCTCCACTTTAACCCCCGAGCCGTCGAAATACGACCGAATAAACCCCCATTCGTCTCATTTTGTGTTCTTATTTTTTTTCTGCCAAACCACCTGAATTCGCACCATCGCCATCAGGAACAGCATGTCTCTTCGGGCTGCCCCCCGTCCAAGATGACAGCGATGGGTGGAAAAACAAAATGAATGCCAATAAAACACATGTTAGCGGCGCTGAAGCGAGCAGACGTGTTGGGGGGCTCGTAATTTCGCTGTTTTTTCTCTGCGGGGCTGTCATCGGGTTTACGCGCCTCTCCTCGGCCAGCAGCAGCAGCCATGCGCCTGATGGAGCTCAGCGGGGATGGATGGCGGCTTTTATCGATCCGATCTGCAGGCCAGCTCCATAATATTCATCTCCTATATGATAACAAAGGCACTTACTCTGCAGCCCTGCTCTCACACGCATGTACACACGGCGCCGCGGTGCAATTTTTATTGATAAAATCCTGCAAAAATATGCTCATTTATCTTCATTTTCTTTGCGCCTTTTTTTTTTTTTTGTCGGTCAAACGATGCATCTTGCAGAACAAAAATGAGCCTTTATGCGACAAGCGTGGAGCGGGTTTATTTTTGTTGACTCGCTGCGTGTCCACACACTTCGCCCACAGGCTCCATGATAAAGGTGGTGGCATGAGGAGAAGCCGAGGTGTGCGTTGTTGGAGCACGTTTAGGCGGATGCAGGAGGCTGGTCGGGGCAGGGGCAGGGTTTCTGGGGGAGTTTTGGGACACAATAATGTTGGAGCGACCATCCACAGGTGTGTGTGTGTGTGTGTGTGACTGAGTCATTGTCACACGACCAATGAGTGCAAGTCACCAGGTTAAATCCAGCAGCTGCATGGTGCTTATTGTTGTTTTCAAGCTTCAGTTGGAGATGTTTGTTTACAGGGCTGCAGGGTGATGGAGAATCGGTGATTGCAGAAGGAATTTTTAGCAGATGACTTGAATAACTTGAGTAATTATTAATTCCCCAATGATTTGGGTGGTTTTGTAAGGGGGAGTGCATGGTTTTAAAAATAAAAAAAGCCATTTGGAGCCTTTCTTATGTGGTGTAACGCTGCCAAATGCGTCCAAAATTTTTTATTTTCGGTTTGGATGGCATTTAGATCTGGCATCAGTGGTGAAACACTGGCGACAGACTACCTGTTTTTGTTCATCGTCAACCTTTCTGTAGCTAAAATATTATTTTTGTAATCAAATCTTCGTTTTCAGTGTTTCTCTCTGTGCACATGTGGAGGCTGTATGTCAACAAATGCTTTTAAATTTAGAGAATTTAGTTTATCCAAGATGCAATATGTTCAATCCAACAGACTTTTTCTTGTAGATTAGTTTGGAAAAATATAATTTGAGGGTTTTCTTTTTGTATTAAGCAGCGAAACAAAGTCGCAGCGTTAGACGTCTGAGTTCATTTGCCTTCATTCGCGTCGCACAAGGTGACTATTGTGCATTTAAACATTGCGATGTAGGTGCTGGAACAACATATTGTGCAGCCCTGCTTGTTTACCAGACGAATCAAAGCTGTCATTAACACACAGATAAACAGTTAACAGCTAATATCTGACCTTATAAAATCACACTGGGCAACTGGAAAATGTGTTTTTGTTCGAGACGTCGAGAAATACACATGCAAAGCAGTTTAATCTTTGTGAAAATCTTATTATTTTGGATATTTTGATGGTGACATGTCCTCTTTTTTAAAAAAAACAAAAAAACAATGTAGTTCTGTCTAATCCGGTGCGTAAAACTTCGTTTGCTAACGGTCTCCATGTTGTATGTTTTCGCTTTTCAATTGTATTTATCAGCCTTTTACATTCACTGCATTCATGGTGCTTTAACCCTACACACATCTATAACCTGAGATGATTATTGTGATTAAATTAGGAAGCCAAATGACACGAGGATGGGTTGTGCCGCACCTGGATGTCCACTTGTGCTGTGGGTCAACAACAGAGCCACCTCTGCTTCTGAGATTCCTTCAAACACATGCGTCAGCGTGGCTTTAACACCTCCAAAAGTTGTGTATGATGAAGTGATGCAGGCCTGCTTTAATCGTCTCCAAACTTGCAGTTCTGTAGGTGTGCATGCGTTAACACAGGAAAGACGCAAATAGAGGCAGACAGACAACGGTGCGCTCCGAGTGGTGAGGACTGGCAGCAAAGACGTCAACTTGAAAATGTTTCACACTGGGCGAGAAAATCACGATTATCTCAAAATTGGTGGAGAGAAGACATGCTGCTTGATAATTGTGCAGACACAGGCAGAAATAGGAAACACGTGAAGATAGTTTGTGGTAAAAATTTGGCAATGTTTCATCATAATTTCAGTCTGAACTGCCAAATATAGTTTGTGTCATTTCCACAAGCAGCTGTACTTGTAGTTTGTGGCCAGTCAATGTGAACTGTGGAGGTGAAATTAATGCAGAGCGTGTCGCATCTACGCTCAGAATCAGAAATACTTTATTGTTTCCTGTGGGGAAGTTGTTTATACTGCAATCGATTCCCATTCAGAGTCTTCAAAATTTAAGCAGCAGATAAAATAAAGATAAACACAAGTAGAAAAATATTTCCTAAAAATATCAACATAAGTAGAAAGAAATATATAAAAATGAGTTTAAAACAAGGTGTCCTAAAAATATAAACATTAGTAAAAATAGGCCCTAAAAATATATGAGTTTAAAATGAAACTCATGAGTTAAAAAAAAAAAAAGTCTTCAAACATAAGCAGAAAGATAAAATTCTAAAATTTGAAAATGTGCATAAAATATGTGTATATACTGTAAGAATCATCAGGTGAAGCCATTAAACGTCCACACGTACAGGTGGGTGTTTCCATCTTGTGAATGGCCACTGAGCCGTCTTCGTGCGGCTGCCTCCTCCACGGTGCAGCGTAGTAGCTTAATCCAGGTGATCTGCAGGTGTAGGCGTCAGTGCGCTCCCCGCTCAGTGACTCATCGCCGGGCCGGGCCGTCGGCCTCGCGCTCGGCTCTAAGCCCAGCTGTCTCGCTGCTCCATCGTTACCAGGGACACGCATAGCATTAGTCCGCAGTGAAAACTCAGAAAGCGAGCTCGCTGATCTGATGTTTAAAATCCATTAGGTCCATTAGAGGAAACCGGCGGAGTAAGACAGGCGGCCGATAATCTTTGTGAACGCGGTGATTTGGATCCCGGCTGAAAGTCGCACGTCAGGAGCAGAAGTGCGTGTTTGCCTCCAGTGCATCTGTCGTTTTCTGCACCAGGAGAAGAAAAAAAAACCTAATTTCACTTCCTCAAAGTCGACGCAGCTCTGAAGCAAAAGCGTCAGATTATGGCATCATTTTTTTTGTCTTTGTCATCGGAGCTGCAGATTCCTGAGGTGATGGGGTGTTTACCAACGGCGTCGGTCCAGCTGTTTACCTGCCTTTAAATGCACGTGTCGTTTTAATGTCATGTAGTTGGAGCTGACAGCATGAACTGAACCAAACTAGTCAAACTGCTCCTCAGACATGATGATTTTCTGCTTCTTTTTGCCGTCTATCATTGAAAACAGACTGTTTTCAGGGTTCTGACTGTTGATTATCACCCTGGACTCATGATTAACATGTTGTTTTTCAGGTTGTCTTCAGTCTTTAATTGACTGACCAATTTAATAATATGAGGCTTTCACGTTCCAATTTATTTATGCACATAAACAAGCAGAGAATAAGTTAAAAAATACAAACTGAACCGACTAGTTTTAAGTTTATTTAGAAGTGTAATTGACTGGCAGCTTTGGAAACAGAATATCTTCACCTTGGACTTGTGGTTTACATGCTTTTAGGTTATTATATCTGGTGTTTAATTGACTGAATGATGAATCCTTGTGCATGCATTTGCATTTTGTCCCTTTCTGTTTTGCTTAAACGAGTGCTCAGTCGACTGGCAATCGGTTTTGATCGATTTGATCACCTCTGTTGTTTTGTTTTCCTTCTCATTTGTCAGGACTCTTGCTTTTATTCGCCTTATGTGATAGAAAACAGAACATCTTTGGATTCTGAACAGTTGGTCCGACTGAAACGCAGACAATCCGAAAGACTTGTTAATTTGCAGATGGTTAACTGACTGGCTGAGTAAATAATTGCGAGTTGCCACCTTTTTTTTTATTTTTATTGAGGAGACATCAGAGTTGGGGGTGGCAAGGTTGCTGGTGTTGGCTGTGGTGAGCAGACTGGCTGCTTGTGGGAGGCTTCAGGCGTTTCACGTTGAGAGACACACATTTCTAAGTGTAGTAATGTGGCAGCTGAGGAGGCTAAATATAGGTGCACCTCTGTTTATGGTGGAAGAGGAAGACCTCAGACTCGCTGCACGTCATGCAGAGACCGAAACCCTTCCTGCAGTGTCAGTGCATGCACATGGTGAGCAAAAAAAACTATTAGAAACCCTGTAAAATGCCATGCGTTCCCCATGTATATACAACACTCAGCGTGTCTTAAAGTGAGTGAGTTAATCTTTTGGAACTGATTGCAGGCTGTCAGTTAAACACTCGTGAATAAAAAGTGGGATTATTCACACAGAATGCTGTGAAATGTGAGTTTACGCCATCAAATTTGTGGCTGG